TGAGGTTCCCACTTTACAGGATGGGTACTCACGGATTCAACGTAGTGAAAGTGTAAAACCCATAGAGCCTTCTGATGGTGCACCCCAGAATGCTCTTATAAGTCAGAGGATGCAAACTGAGTCACCAAAGCAACCATATAAGTCATTCGTTCGTAGTGGCACCCCACAGAATCAAGAGCCCATAATCTGTCATTATTGTCACAAAGAGGGACATTATAAGCGTGATTGTAGGAAACTTCAACGTGTTAATCAAAGGGGACGAGCTGCACACTTTGCCTCGGGTGAAAACTCTAACCCCCCTACTTCAACAGATGAGTATGCCCAATTCCTCCAGTTCAAGGAGCTTCTGCAGCGATCATCTCCTTCTATGACGGCAATTACGAATTCAGGTAACGATAGTGCTTGTCTTGTCTCGTCTTCCTCCAAGTGGGTTATTGATTCCGGAGCCACAGGTAATCCTAGCGTCTTCTCCACTTTTCAGCCCTACACATCTCATTCCCCTGTTACCCTTGCTGATGGTTCCACATCTCAGGTCCTTGGGTCAGGCTCGGTTATCCTAACTCCAAATATGCATCTGTCTTCTGTTTTGAGTTTACCCAATTTCTCATTTAATCTGTTGTCTCTTAGTAGACTTACTCGTGATCTTAATTGCTTTGTCACATTCTTTTCTGACCATTGTGTGTTTCAGGATCTTACGACGAAGAAGATTATTGGTGAAGGACGTGAGATTAACGGCCTGTATCTTCTCAACACTTCCATTCCTAAAGCAGCTGCTTGTCTTGGGATTGAGTCACCTCTTGAGATTCATTATCGTCTTGGTCATCCATCCTTGTCCCTGTTAAAGAAAATTTATCCTCAATTTAAACATCTCTCTGTTTTAGAGTGTGAATCATGTCGTTTTGCTAAACACCATCGTGTTAGTTTAAGTCCTAGAATAAATCTACGGGCAAGTGCTCCTTTTGAGTTGGTTCATTCTGACGTTTGGGGTCCTTGCTCGGTTGTGTCAAAACCCGGATTCCGGTACTTTGTTACTTTTGTTGATGACTATTCACGTATGACTTGGCTCTATTTAATGAAATCTCGTTCTGAGTTATTTTCTCACTTTCGTTCGTTTTGTGCTGAAATCCAAACCCAATTTAATATGCCTCTTAAAATTATGCGTGGTGATAATGCTAAAGAATATCTTTCCAGCCCCTTCCAAGCCTACATGCGTGACCGTGGCATTCTCCACCAAACTTCGTGTGTGGATACTCCAGCCCAAAATGGAGTAGCTGAACGCAAAAATCGACATCTGCTTGAAACTGCACGGGCACTCTTGTTTCAATCAAAAGTGTCCAAGATGTTTTGGGCTGATGCC